CAATGAGCAATGTGATGTATGCAGTACTATGCAGTGAGACATGTGCAGATCTCTACATTGGAGAAACAAAAAAAAAACCACTTCACAAATGCATGGCACAACATAGTAGAACAAACCCATCAGGACAAAATTCAGCAGACCATCTGCATTTGAAAGACAAAGGTCACTGTTTTGAAGACAGCAAAGATTTATTTATATTATCATAGCCACCTCTCCTGACATGATGATAATGTATTGGTGAGTTCAGGTGAGACTGGATTAATATTAATGTGTTCCAAAGTCCTGTATCAGTAGTAAATATAGGTACAGGAAAAACAAATCATATGGTACTGTACTTATTTTTAAGCTCCTTTACAGTACTAATACTTGTATATGTGCATGTGTATATGCATTATGGAGTTTTATTATGGCCTGCACAAGGATCAATATCAAACATATTATGTCTGTTAGACTTTTGGCAATGGTGTGTAATGTTATGTATATATGTATAATATATGTATACATACGTATACATAATATACAAAGCTAAAAACTTTACTCAAGAAGTTTAGGAAATGAAATGCTGTTCATCATAAAAATTACCTGTTTAGCCCCCAAACAATTTGAGGCAACAGTATTTCCACGGGAGTTGATAAACCCTAATAAAATTAGAGCCATTTTGTGATTTTTCTTCCCTGAAACATACATTGACTTACTGTGATTCCTATGGTGAGCTACACATCCCTAAGCAGGACAGTGTTTAGACAGAGAGCAGCTGGATGTTGGGTCCTGGCTACTGCAATCTCTTCAAAGAAAGGGGAGATTGTGAGATAGCCATGCACACTCTGGACAGCTGTGTAATAGGCTGTAGGAACTGAGATTTTGAGTTCAACTTACGAGTAGAGCGATTGAGAATTAAAGGAAACCATCTATGCTTACAGTTGTAATTCAACCTTTGTGGACAAAAAGCTTGGCTGTGCTTAATTTCTTGATCATCTTTGGAATAGTTTTCTACTGCTTTGAAACAACTTTTTTGCATTCGGTGAGTGAGACTCTTAAAAGAATTTAAAAATCCTTCACATGGGAAGCTGTTTAGGTTTTTTTGGAAGAAAAACATGAGAAGATAGGACTTTGAAGGTTGGATATAGATGAAACTAAAAGGAAATAAAGTGCCATTAAAGAATAATAATACTTAAATTGAAGTTGTTAATAAAGAATGAAATAAGCTACTCTCACTAGATATTTGAGGGATATTTTTGAACAATTGACTCAGAAATTAATTTTAAGAATATCAGACTCCATAGAGAGATGGTGTATTGATATCACAGAAGAATAAACTCAATGGGATGAGATTGAAATTGATCTGAATTTGAATGTGGATTTAAATACGACAAGTTACTAGTACAACATGGGACGAGATGATATACTGTACATACAAATGAAAATGACTCATATCTTAATATTTAAAAGGGACATATAAGTATTAAATCTGTAGAGCGATTTGGGTAACATTTCCTTAATGTACAAAAAAAAATAAATCTGTTAAAATTTTTTGAAGGATTCTATAAGATGGGACAAAAAAAAAATCAAGATTCAGGACATTATTTGAAGTCAGAATGGGACAATTAGCTGTATCTACTTCGCTCCAGGTCCCCTGCTGCAGCCAACCCACAGCAGGCGTTCATCCTCAGCTGGCCTTCTGCTGGCACTCTCCCCCACCACTGGTCCCATCGCTCCTCACACACACAGGGACATTTTTGCCAGCCCTATTTGCTGCATGAATAATTTGCGATGAGCAAGTGCTTAGCTTTGATGTTACTTTTGTCCGGAGAACATTGAAGAAATTTAACATTCAGAAAGCAGCAGGCTCAGATAATATCCCTGGGCGTGTTTTTAGGGAATGTGCAGATGAGTTGGCTTGTGTTCTTACACATATTTCCAATCTTTCACTGCAGCATGTCCCATGTTTTAAGACGGTCATTATTTTGCCAGTGCCAAAAAAGTCTACAATTACGGGTCTCAATGACTACCGTCCAGTTGCACTTATATCCATCATTATGAAATGTTTTGAGAGGCTGATAAAGGACATTATTATATCCAGCCTCCCTGCAGCATCTGACTTGCTTCGGTTTGCTTATCATGCAAATTGTTCTGCAGAGGATGCTATTTCAACTGCTCTCCATCTGAGCTAGGCGCATTTAAAGGAGAGAAACACTCATATGTGAATGCTGTCTGTTGATTTCAGTTCGGTATTTAATACAATCATTCCATGCATCTAGTAGAAAAACTGGGACTTTTTGGCTTCAATATTGTGCAACTGGATTCTTGATTTTCTTATTGACAGGCCCCATTATGTGCAAGTTGGGACTAATATTTCTAACACCAGCATAGGTTCTTCTCAGGGCTGTGTCCTAAGTCTGCTGTTGTTCACCCTATTGATCCATGACTGTTGTGCTAAGTTTGCCACCAAGCATATTGTGAAGTATGTGGATGATACAACAGTGTAGTGGGCCTTATTCAAGACGACAATGAGGGTGCTTACTGTAAGGAAGTACAGGCTTTGGTGAACTGATGTAACAAAAACAGCCTCGTTTTAAACATAGCAAAAACTAAAGAGATCGCTATCGATTTCAGAAATGGCAGGCAAAGCCACAGATCTCTGAGTATTAATGATTCTCCTGTGGAGGTGGTTAGCAGCATCAGGTTTCTGGGTTTGCAGCTAACGAGTAGACTAGTTTGGTCATTCAACAGTGAAACACTGGTGAAGCAGGCACAGGAGCGCCTGCATTTTCTGTATCACATGAGAAAAGCACATCTTCATTCCCCTGTCCTTTCTACAGAGGGACAATCAAGAGCATCCTCTAATATTCCATTACTGTCTGGTTTGGAAGCGTTACTGCTTCAGACAGGAAGGAGGTGCAGAGAGTGGTAAGGATGGCAAAAAAGATTATTGGTAGTTCACTACCTTTTATCCAGGACATAGCACATAAGTGATGCTTGGGCAAGGTTCATAGGATTGTCTAGGATGCTACAGATCCTTTGCATGACCTGTTTTCCTTGTTACCTTCTGGAGGGGGCTTCGTGGTATATGAAGCAGAATATCCAGATTCAGTCACAGTTTTGTTCCATATAGCATTAATCTTGTGAACTCTCAAGTTTCCTTTTTCCACTATGTATTCAAAATGGACACTGATTAATACTTATATGTATATATAAATGTATGGATGTGCATATGTGTGTGTGCGTGCGTGTGTTGGCTGGAGCACCCGGTCTACCAAATATAGGATACATCAGTCTGTTCTGCGTTTCGCTCCAATCTAGGAGCATGTTTTGCAGGCAGACATCACATACTATGAACACTGTAAATCAGTGGTTCTCAACCTTTTTAATGCGACCCCCAACCAGTCGTAAGTCGAGGACTAAACCGGTCATAAGTCGAGGACTAAACCGGTTGTAAGTCAAGGACTAAACCAGTTGTAAGTCGAGGACTACCCAACCGGTCGTAAGTCGAGGACTTTCCCTGCCTGGGAGCGCCGCGCATGCGTGGTTCCGCCCCCTGCGCCGGCCGAGGCGTAGCTGGCAAGCGGCAGAGACGGAGCAGGCCGACCACCAGCTGGCCCAGCTCAAGGGAGGTAAGGCACCCGCCGGAAAAGGGGAAAAAAATGGCGGACAGCCTTGCTTGGCGACCCCCGTGAAATGGTCGATCGACCCCAAATGGGGTCGCGACCCATAGGTTGAGAACCGCTGCTGTAAATTCAAAATTTTGTGGCTGACAAAGAGTTTATATATATATGTATATATATATGTATATATATATATATATTTGTGTGTATATATATATAATGTGTATATGTGTGTGTTATGTATGTGTATGGGTAGATATATACTTTTTTTTAAGTGTGGACAACATAATTTCATTTTTAATGTGGGCCTGTATCCTCATAGTAAAAAATCTGTCTTGGCAGTCAACCTGCAATCCAAGGGGTGGGCCTCTACCTTCGCACTGGATGAGTGCAGAGCAGGGCCAGGCAGGACGCAATGGGTGGCAACAGCAACAAAAGCACAGTGCTGGACACATGTACCTGGCAAAGAAATGGCAAAGCCTGTCACGGGGTTGAGTCCAGCACCTCTGTGAGTGATAAGGTGTTGCAACGGCCCCAGGAAGATGCACCTGACAGGGAGCAGCCTGGTTATCTCATACAGCAAAAGCCATGTCCTCCGCCTCCTCGGTGCCCGAGGCCGCTGCCCACCCCACCAGGTGCCAAAAACCCCATTGCCATTGAAAATGAATCTAGGTTAGGGTAAGAGTTACATCTACTGGAATCATGGCCAAAAATTGATGATCCTTAGAGATTTTCTAAAGAAAGTGACATTAACAGGTTTTCATTCGGAGTTGTTTGTGAATCACAGTAAAATACACGGGAGAAACCCATTGCCAATGAAAATTAATCTAGAGTTAAGGTTAGGTCTACTTGGAATCATGCCGCAAAACTAACGCTAGTATAGATTCTTAGCAGTTCTCTAAAGAATGTGAGAGAGCCAGCTTTTATTTCAAAAACGTTTGTGGACCACAATAAAATACCTGGGGAAATCCCACTGCCAATGACAATGAATCTAGGGTTAGAGTTAGGTCTACTTGGTGTCATGGCTGAAAACTAATGGTAGGGATAGATTCTCAGAGGTTTTCTAATGGAAACAACATTAACAGTTTCTCGTTTGAAGTTTTTTGTAAACCACAGTAAAATACATGGGAAAATCCCACAGCCAAGAAAATGAAACTAGGTTTAGGTTAAGGTTAGATCTACTTGGAATCATGCCCAAAAATTAATGTTAGGGATAGATCTTTAAGAGATTTTCTAAGAAAAGCGACAATGGGACAGCTTCGCTTTTCGAGTTGTTTTTGGACCACTGTAAAATCCATGGGGAAATCCCATTGCCAATGAAAATGAATTTAAGGTTAAGGTTAGATCTTCCTCGCCCAGTTTCGGGAAGGGGGACCGCTCTCTCCCGCCCTGCCTCACCTCGCAGCGCCAGGCAAGCGATGGCTATCAGGAGCGCCAGCAAGGCAACCACCGCAAGGCAACAGAGCACCGAACAGGTCCTGCTCGGCCATTTACTCCCGGCGGCTTCGGGCCCCTGCAACGAAAATCAATTCACGAAGATGAAGCAATCGCCCCCCCCCTTAGTAAACTCAGCCTGACGTCTCCACCAACCAGCCCCCTTCACCTCTGCCGTAACTAACCGCAACAACTGCATGACGCGCCTCCATGGCAGTGGAACACTCGCTTTCAGGGGGCAGAAAAGAGGGGGGAGGAGAAGAAAGCCCTCCAAATAGACCTTGAAAAAGTTCCCCACCAGGAAGAAACCTATCGAACTAGTTCAGGGATAGGCAACCTTGGCTCTTTTATGACTCGTGGACTTCAACTCCCAGAATTCCTGAGCCAGCATGGCTGGCTCAGGAATTCTGGGAGTTGAAGTCCACGAGTCATAAAAGAGCCAAGGTTGCCTACCCCTGAACTAGACAGAAGCAGCAGCAACAGCGGAACGGAAGTCCCGCTCGGTCTTCCGAACGCCGCCCTTCGAATAGCCACGCCCAGCGTCTGGGGTCAAACCCCTCCCATGCTGCCCTGTTCCATTTGAGGAAACGCTGCGTGTGCGCGTGGTAGGTCGGCTCTACCTTCCCTTCGCCGCCACGTTCCTTTTTTTTTTTTTCTTTCCCGCCTTGTTTTTACGCCCAGAAATGGTCCCTCTTGGCTTCCGTAGCTCCGCCCTTCAACCTCCGCCGCTCGGAGCGAGCTGTTTTCCCGGCGTCCTCTGCGCTACGCGCGTCTCTCCTTCCCCCTCCTCACCTCCATTCCGGCTCCTACCCTTTACCCCCCCCTCCCACCTCGCACTCGGATCTTGGACGCTCGCCCGCCTTTTCCCCTTCGGCGCGAGGAGAAGCAGGAGCCCCTCCCCTACCGGCGTGAGGTTTTGTTCTTTCCTCCTCCGGCCGCGTGCGCCGTGATTTTTCCCCCCCGCCCCCCGTCGCAGACTTCCGACGAGTGTTAACCCCTTCCTACGAAGCTCCCACCCCCGCATCCCCGTGTCCGGTCTTCCTTCTCCTCTTCTCTGTTCGGTTTCCGGCTAACGGTCTCCCTCGGATCCCGGCGGAACTGAGGAGCAGGGCCGGCTCGGCGGAGCCAGGCCTGCGTCCGGGAAAGTGATGTCAGGTGGAGACTCGGCGGCCGCCGCGGCCTCTCCTCAGCCGTTGCCCTTCTCGCTGCCCAAGCCGCCCCCCCTGATGCAGCTCAACCCCGGCGAAGGCGTGCGCCCCGTGGGAGCCCCCGGCCCGGAGCAGTCGCCGAAGAGCGCCCGCATGGGAGGCCGGCCGGACTGGCCTGCCGGGAAGCCCGTCAGCCTCCTGGCGCCTCTCCTTCCGCCGCGCGGGGAACCCGAACCGCTCCTTCCCTTCGGACCGTCCTCTCGACAGCCCCTCCGGGGGAGACTCCTAGGCAGGGGCGGCGGCGTCGGAGGAGGCGGCGGCGGCGTCGGTGGCGGCGGCGGTGCGGGTAGCCCCGGCCTCCTCAACCCTGCGATGAGGCTGGGCGCCGGCGGGGCAGGAAGCGGCGGCGGCATGGGCCGAGAGTCCGTTATGGTAGGTGGGCAGCAGGCGATTTATTTTGGGGGGGGGGCGTGGGTGGTGGGGGCAAAAGTAAGTTGCCTTTTTTCCTTCGGTTTTGCAACTCCCCTTGCAAATTTCGTAACCGTGAAGTAAAAAAAGCTCTTCTGGCCTCTTGGCCTCATTTGAAGGGGTGGAGGGAGTCTAGTTACACCCTAGACAAGTCTTCTTCAGTGACTTTGAGTTAAGTCTGCCCGCATTTTCACTCCGAGTCTGTGCCTGTATGTTAATGGTGACGGTATGCTAGTGGTTTTTCCGCACGTTTTTTTTTTTTTTTTATAGACCGTTTAGCATTCTAGCCGGTATGAGATTTTAGCTAATGCCTGAATGCTGGATGAAAAATTAACTTCTTGCTTGGCATCTATGGAGATTCTCAGTCATCCTTGTCCCAAGAAGCAACTGGACTTTCTTTGTTTTTCTTTGAAGAGGTTTTGCTTCTCATCCAAGAAGCTTTTTCAGCTCTGAGCTGGAGAAGCTTCTTAGATGAGAAGCAAAACTGAAAAAGCACTTTTGGGGTTGCTGCTTGGCTTTCTTTTCCCTGTACCTAGAAAGGTATATTGGAAAGGCCTGTTAAGTGCATATTTTCCCACCATTCCTGAGAATGGTGAGACTTAATCTTCGCAGCAGTGCATATGGTAGGGAATCAACAGAAATATGAATATTATCATTTGAAAAATGGCCCAATCAGCATTGTTATTATGTGCCATCACATTGTTTTCAATTTCTAGCGATTATGTGCCATCACATTGTTTTCAACTTCTAAGGATCACATTGATTCTTTCTTTGATCATTCTTTTCTTTGATCGTCTAACTCTAACCTGGTCTTTCAGGTTTTCTAGTGCCAGTGTTACCTTGCTGCTGCTGCTCATCCTCTTTTTCTCTTTCCTTCTAACTTTCCCACTATTAGAGCCTTTTTCAGAGAGATAGTCTCAGATTTGCTAGCTTTATAGTAATTATAAATAGAATTTGACAAATTGAAATTATTTGGCATGATCATTTGGAACACCAAGCCAGAATTCTGGAGGACTAGCTTAGGATGAATTTATATGGATTTATAAATATTCGTTTATTGTGCCAAACAATCCATTCACTTTCATTTCACTTTTTTACTGTTCACCTGCAATCTGGTTTTTCCTCTGCATTGTAAATAGCCCCAAAAAAACCTATAGTTTTTGATACTGGCTTAAAAGGGGACAGTAAGCCAAGAACCTTGATTTGAGTCATAAAACAAACGAATCCTTTCTATTTAGTGCTGTAGTTACAAAAGGAAAAGTAGGAGTTTCAATGACAAGTCAACATTCATTATTATTGTTCCATGTGAATATTACTAATATATGTGAAGCATTTGAACAGTTGTAACTTGATGTTTCATAAGTTGCCAAGTCTTATAATTATTTTCAAACAAGTAGGTCAATGACAATATTATTTACAGGAATATTTAATAAACTTGTACCATTAATAGTGCTTAATTCCTAAGAAAGGTTATACCACTTATACCCAAACCTGCCTAATATACATGTTATTTCTTCTTTGAAGACTTGCTGTCCAAGTCTTTCCTGTTTGAAGATTTGCTAACCAAACTATTTCTTTACAAAATTAAGAATATAATGAAGGTAACCTAAACTTTTCAGAGCAGATTATGAAATATACATATGTTAATGAGTTGTATTCATTTTACAATCTAAAGATAGTTGAAAACAAAACCACAATTCTACCCCCTCCCAAAATGTCATTAAAATTTTAAAATAGCAAAATAACATCTGCTTAATAAAAAGTATTTCCATTTGATTGCAGAACAAAGTTAGTGACTTGAAATGCATAGTTTCCTAAATGTAGCACTTGAAAAAGCCCACTTGCAGATTACCCTAATAATGATTGGAGAAAATAATATAAGCAAAAGGTGTTTTAGGTGATCTTTAATCAGGATTATGCACAAGGAGATAGCCAAATGCTATTTCATTTTGGGTCTAAAAGTCATAAATCACTAACAAGCTAGTTGCTAGTGTACCTGATTTAATTTATTTTTAGTAAAACTCATGTCTGCCTCAGTATTTGCACTGAACAGTCTATGTTAGCTGATAGATGAATTCATACAGCTATTTTTTTAATTTTATATAAGTAAAACTTAAGAAACATACAAGCAGGTTTCTTTTTTTTAATTTTCATATTTTAACTTTTACTGGTTTAATTGTTTTAAACCAATACATTTAAATTAATTAAAGGTTTAATTGCGTTAGTGCAAATCTGAATGGCCATAAATAATTGGATGTTTTATTTAAATTGTTTATAGCTACCCAATTCAGTGGATTCGGTTGGAAGCAGTGACCTGCTCTATGCATATTTCAACTATCATTTTCTCAGAAAATAGAATCAGGGTTTACAGTTCTGATTTTCTGTGAATGTTTTCTGACTTTCTCATCTGGCAAGCAATATATCCAAGACTGGATCATTTGAAATCTGATGTACAATGTTTCAATCACAGAATGTCTTGTTCAAACACAAAAACAGTAGTGTTTGAGTGCAAAATGAGCTGTTGTAACATTCTGAAGTGCTTCAAACTCAAAACAGCCCATTACATGATGGAAATGTTTTGTACATCCCTAATGCTTATTTGTTACACTTTTTTTCTTGAGGATTACTCATACAATAAATACAAATAGTAATTGCAATAATAAAATAGCAAGTTTTTAAACTATCATCAGTTGTAATATCCAGAAAGGGGAAAGTATAAAATATTTATGTATTGACAGCATTGGTAATATTGTAGCAGTTAAAAAAAACTTGCTGTTTGTGAGTCCTAATTAACCAGATTTGGAACTTATTTCTGTTTTGCTTGTATTCATAAAATCCTGAACTGTGTTTTTCAGATGGGACATCCAGGCATGCCTCACTATCCACCCATGGGAATGCATCCTATGGGCCAAAGGCCCCCCAACATGCCTCCAGTATCTCATGGGATGATGCCTCAAATGATGCCTCCAATGGGAGGACCACAAATGGGACAGGTAAATGGGCTTCTGTGATTTTGTTATATATACTGCTTTAAAATGAAACAGTACTATAATTTCAATCTTTTAAAAACTTTCCATAGGTCATTAGGAATTGGCACTGATTCATATCAGTACAGTCTTCTTAATCTCTTTTTCTCATTATTCCTGATTTAAATGAATCAGAAGATTGTTTTTTCTTAAACACAGGTCAGTTACTTTTCTGTATAACATTTGGGATAGGAAAGTATTTTGGCCTTACGTTGCTTACTATTTGGTTGAATCCTTACTTCTCTGCAATATATTTCTCCTGTATGTCAATAAGTAGTTTAGCCTTTTCAGATCTGGGCTTTTATTTTCCCTTTTTGTAGTGGCCTTAGCTCTTTGTGTTCAGTGTGATATAGCAAAATTAAAAAAAAAACCCTTTGCTTACTACTATAGATAGTAATCCCAGTACTATACTGTCCATACTTACACTAGTTCAAACCTTGAATTTTAAAGTCACTCATAGTGTTAGTCTTGCACTAATGTAAAAAGTTTTCATCTTTTTTGATGAATAAAGGGCATTCTGTCTTCATATGGCATTAAAAATCATGTAAGTCCTTTGCATTCTGGACAGTATCAAAATTTGTTAGTGCAGGTGCATTTAGTTTAAACAAGGATAAATGGTGAATAGGAGACATGAAAAGTAATTTGAGCAGTTCGGCTATTTATCTTATTATCTG